GCTGGGGACATGAGCGGACGCTGTGCTGTGCGCTGGGGACATGAGCGGACGCTGTGCTGTGCGCTGGTGATGTGAGCGGACGCTGCTCTCTTGCAGGCGCATGCTGAAGAGTAACAGCAAGCCCAAGGAGAAGAGCGTGCTCATCCTCCCTCCGCGGGCCGGCACCCCCAAGCTCTTCAATGCCGCCCTGGCCGCAGCGGGGAAGATGGGCGCCAGGGGGGCGAAAGGCGGCCAGCTGGCCCACCTCAGGGCTCGGCTCAAAGAGCTGGCTGCGCTGGAGGCGGCTGCCAAACAGCAGCAGCTGCTGGAACAGGTAATGTGGCCGGGAACCCGGCCACCGATCCGCGTCACCTCTGTGCCAGGCAGAAGGAAGGCCGGGGACCTCCGCGAGGGGACCCACCGTCCATCCTAGGGGGTGCTTTCCCTCCTTCCTGTCCGCAGGGCTCCTTTGGTTGCAAGGGACAGTGCGAGCTCATGTTCACTTGAGAAAACGGAGTTTATGGGGTGGAGTAATTAAAAATTCCGGGCAAGTGTTTCCGGAAACCCCCGGGGTGGGCTCAGGCTGCCTGTCGCTGTGTCCAATAAGGAAGGCAGGTTGAATCATACTAGGCGTTTATTGGGAAGGCCAGCCCACCAAGAAGACAGGGCGCTTACAAGCATCAAACCCTGCCTTCCAGCAGGTGCAGGGGGCAGGAGTATAAAGGGGAAGGGGCCAGGGTGCTACGTGCAGCCCTGGGGGTCCGCAAACGTCAGCTATTGTCTTCAGTCATTGATGAGATGATGTTGACGAGATGATGTTTTGACTCCTGGTGGGTCGGCCTGACCATGCTTATCGGTTCTGCTTGCTGGATTCACAGCTGAGTCACCTCCTCCATCGCTTTGCACAGGCCTTGAAAAGGAAACTTTAAGAAAAACTTAACTCCCTTTTCTCATATAAGAAACGTAACCCCCTATTCACATAAGCATATGTGTGCTGAGATTTAAAATAATATGGTTACTTTTCAGATGAATTCAGGTTATAGGTCCCCCTATCACAAGGCTGAGTCCAAAGCTCAGATGATGCCAACAGGACGAGGTGTATCATCTCTGTTTTCCTGGGAGATGACTCCACGCCCGGGCTGGCCCCAACAGAAGGTGTTGCAACTCCAACAGAAAGAAAGCACCTCCTTCCCAGTAATTCCAGCAAAAATCCCAGGGCTTGCTGTCATTGGACAGAATTGGGTCACATGTCAATTCCTGAGCCATTCAGTGGGTGCTCCACCGAGGCCTGGCTCACATGCCCCGCCCTACGCTGAGGCGGCAGAGTGGCTTTCCCAAAGGGAAGTCCTGGTGTGGGCAGCGAATGTCCCTCCCTCCCCAGATAAAAGTGATGTTCTCCTAGTTCATGTTGTGTCTGTCGAAAAGATTTGCAATTTAAAAGATTTGGAAAGGCGACAGGCACTGTGCAGACTGCTCCCGCCCCCATAAATCTAAAGGGAATTTTCAAATTAGTTCTGGGACGTTTTTTCTGTGACTAATGCCCAGAATGCCAATTAGAGTGATTGCATTAATTATGGCTGCTCATTACGGTCCTGTAGGGAGGCTGCCGGGAAATGGGGGGATGGGCTTAGGCAGGAGCTCGGTGGCAGGGAGGGGGCAGCAGGCCATGGGAGACAATTCGGAGGAGGCCAGTGCTCTCGGGCTCAGTGCAGGCCAACGTCAGAGCCCGGGAACCGTCAGAGGCCAGGGGACAGCAGGATCTGAGGAGTGATGCCTGGGTCTCCAGAGGCAGTCACCACTGGCCCCAGGTTGAGCACAGGCGTGACTGTCTGGCTCGCCGCCTGCCAAGGGCGGCATCATGCCGGCTAGTTGGGGTCTTCAGGGCCGGCTGAGCTGACAGGCGCCCCCAGTGTCCTCAGGACAGTGACGGGCTTGATCCGAAAAGGGCTCCTAATGTTAACTCTTCACCGAGGCAGCTCGGAGACGGGAATTACATGTGCACGCGTGTTCCAATAAAAGGCATTTCCCCTGCAATTCAGAACCAGGGCAGAATGGCAGAGTGCAAGGGGCTCTTCCATAGCCGTCCAAAGACACAGGTCCAAGCCCCGGCCCTGTCACCACCAGCTGAGACCTGTATAGCTCCTCAAGCCTCCTGAGCCCCTGGTTCCTCAGGGTCGCCACATGGGGTACCAGGGATGAAGCGGGAGACCCGGGATGCCTTTTATGAAAGCATTTGGACCACGGCAAAGCCCTGGACCAACTGTCCCATGATTCTTCCGGTCCCATCAAAGCAGGATGCTTTAGGAGGTCCCATAGGGGGCACCATCTGGGCATCCTGCCTTGGGAGTGCCTGTCAGAGCTTAGCGTGGGCAGGGGAGGGGGGACAGGGGTGACAAGCCTGCAGACACATGGGACAGAGGGAGGGACACGTCCCCCAGGACACCTTGGGTTCTAGGAGCATCTTGTCCCCCACCCCCTGCTCCCCTTCCTTCAACACCTTGTGACTTGAGCCAACTTCAGGGGTCTCTGTCCCTTTAATTCCGCATGGTGACTGCTCTCCCTTTAACTCAGCACCATTTCAAGCAGGACTCGGACATCTGGGGACCCTGGGCCTCCTGGTCTGGGGGCTGCTCTCTCCAGGAGGGGCCATGGGTACCCACAAAAGCATGGGTTTTCAACCAATTCCCTTTGATACACAGACCATGGCCAGCATCCTCGGGGGCCTGCAGGCTGGAGGCTGGAGGTACCTACCGACTCCCCAGACGTGGGGCTCAGCCCAGCCTAATGCCAGGGGCCTCTGTGGATCTCAGCCTTTGAGACCTTCCAGAAAGGGGGGCAGTCCACAGCTGCTCCAGCCCTCATCAGCCCTTCCCTCGTCTGTTTAGTTTTTCTCATCCCCCAAGGAGCGCGCAGCCCTGGGAACTGGGTGGGCAGGGAGAGGCTTAGCTCTGAGACGCAACAGAGACCTAACATCTCTCCCCAGGACCTTCCAACCAGAGATTTTAATCCGTCAACGTCCCCCATAATATAGCGTCTCCATAAGTAACCCTGACGCGGCTCCGCCCAGCCCCCCACCCGCTAGTTGCACCTGCTGAGCTCACCATCCTTTTCCGTGGGGGTCCGACGCGGGGAACAGGGAGGTAGCTAAGATCCCTTGGACATTCTCGGCCTCACCAGTCACCCTTTCCGGATTCCAGGCCAAGAGCTCGGAAGACGCGGCGGGAGAGGTGGGCTCTGCCGCCCCCGACCAGCCTGCGCCCCAGGAACCCCCGGCCCCAGGCTCTCAGCCACCCGCCTCGCCAGGGGGTACCGAGAAGGAGGCAGCTGGTCCCCAGGAGGAGCATTCGGTGCGGATCCGCGTGAGCCCCGGCCTGGACCCTGGCGAACAGATCCTGTCGGTGGAGGTCCCGGAGGAGAAGAAAGAGGCAGAATGAGGGGCCCACCCCCACCCCGCCCAGCAGCCAAGAGGCTGGTCCACAGTGGTGGCCTGGGTGGCCCTCAGCTAACTGCTGGCCCTCATTCCTGCTCCCACACCAGCTTCTCCCGGGCTGGTCTTGACGTCAACAACTTTCCTAGTGTCCCTAAGTCCCACCGTCACCTGAGAACCCTGCCTCCCTTGACTAATATTTTCAAGGACAAATATATTTTTTTCTAATTTGCAAGTTCATAGGCAGAGGCTAGAATGGGGCTTTAACACCAGGGGACACTTTGCTGGAGGTCAAGGGTTTTGAATGTTGGGGGTTTCCCTTCAGGAATCTGTCTTCCACGTTCCAAGGACAGGAACTGTCCAGCAGAAAGGTGGGCAGTTGTTACTGTCCTTTTTTATTTTATGAATTTTTTAAAATATATTTTTTATTGATTTCAGAGAGGAAGAGAGAGGAAGGGAAAGGAAGAAACATCAATGATGAGAGAGAGTCATCAATCGGCTGCCTCTGCACACCCCCTGCTAGGGATGGAGCCCACAACCTGGGCATGTGCCCTGATGGGGAATTGAACCATGACCTCCTGGTTCATAGGTCAATGCTCAACCACTGAGCCACACCGGCTGGGTGAGCCACTGTTACTTTTCACTTGATTTATTTGGGAGTGTCTTCCCTTTCAGCACATACAGGGCGTGCTTGTTTTGTTATAATTGCACACCCCCTGCTAGGGATCCAGCCCACAACCTGGGCATGTGCCCTGATGGGGAATTGAACCATGACCTCCTGGTTCATAGGTCAATGCTCAACCACTGAGCCACACCGGCTGGGTGAGCCACTGTTACTTTTCACTTGATTTATTTGGGAGTGTCTTCCCTTTCAGCACATACAGGGCGTGCTTGTTTTGTTATAATCGCACTCTAGTCCGTGTCTGGAAATAGCGTAACATTGAATTGCTCTACCATTGACACGCATTTGCATTATTTCCCATCTTATGCCGTTAAACAGAATGCTTCAATCGAAAATCGCACACAGACATCATTTCACTGGTAAACACTATTTCTAAATAGGAGAAGTCTGGAGGTTTGGGCTAATTCTTTTTCTTCATCATTATTCCCATTTATCATTCTCATATTTGCATTATGTATTCTAATAGAGGTCCAAGCATAGAGAATGCTTTCATCTTGAGCAAGTACTTCAGATATATCAATACAGTAAGCGTATTGCCCTTCAGTAGATGACAACATGTTTCAAGGGCACCCTCTCTGTGAGATCCTATTTTATGAGGATTTGTTTGTTTGTTTTTAATATATTTTTATTGGTTTCAGAGAGGAAGAGAGAGGGAGAGAGATAGAAACATCAATGATGAGAGAGAATCATGGATTGGCTGCCTCCTGCATGCCCCCTACTGAGGATCGAGCCCGCAACCCAGGCATGTGCCCTGACCAGGAATCAAACTGTGACCTCCTGGTTCATAGATCGATGCTCAACCACTGAGCCATGCCAGCTGGGCTATGGGGATTTTTTAATATGAATGTACTTATTCTTTTAGATCTCAACCCTTGAATATATACTGCTTATTATATAAAGCGAGAGATTTTTGAGGTTCCCAAGAATTGTCCTGGAAAGAAAATTGATTTTGAGACGAGATTAACAGTGTCTTAATTTCACTGAGCTATCTCATTAAACTGGACAATGTCACGGAACTTGGATATTAGGTAGATTGAATTGGAGGCTGGCATTATTCTCCAAATAGAATCGGATGGGCTGATCGCCCAGGTGTGGATGGAACAACTCAGGAACACTAATTCTGCCACGGAACCGGGACCTATATTTATGTCTGTGGAATCTCGGCTAATTTAAAATGTCTCAGCGTTTCCTGCATTCGGGGAGGAAATGAATAGCAAGCTATTTTTTCTAACTACATAAACATTTTAAATAAAATTAAAACCAAGAAGCTGCTTAAAATTCCATTATCAAAATGCGCTCAGCTCCCTGGAATATTTCCAGCTGTTTTCTTAGCAAATGGGAGCCCCGCCTTTCACGCTCTGGCTTTCATCCCATCCCAGTGCATTTTAATTAAAAGTGGTTCAACCGACGTCCCTGGCTGGTGGATTCATTTCGGGAACTGGCCATGCAGGACAGACACTTTTGTGAGGAGAACTCCGCCGATGGCCTGGCTCGGGCTCCCTGGCCCGTTTCCTCTGCCATCTCGGGGGCCGTCCTCCGCCTGCAGTCCCAGGGCTGAGTGACATCCCGGTGCCATACCTTACCATCCCCCCTGGGCCCTAGGATTCTAAGACCCCCCCTCTCTCCAAAAACCCAGCCCCTTTATATCCGGTCTCACCTATTGGCCTCACCGAGCCCATTGGACTCATTTAGGGGTGCAGAGAGCTGACGAGTACGGGCTGTGGGTTCCGACTGCCTAGCTTCCCACCCCAGCGGGACCATGTCCGTGGACGACCATGGGCTGCTCTGAGCCCCAGCGACCTCATCTATAAGATGGAGATAACACACTCACCGCACAGGGCCACCGAGACGATCAGATAAGAGACTGGCATCGCCCGTCGGAATGGGCGTGAGGATGCAGGCGACTTCCATCCCCGTCTGCTACCCTGGGAGGAACCCCGAGAGCCCTGTCTTCTCTGACTTCTGCCTCCGCCCTGGGTTACGCATAGAAAGGGCGAGATCGGTTCTTTCTTTGCTCTTGAATGAGAGTTAGTGCTGAGGCCTGGACACATGTTAATTACAACAATCCAAGTCACAGCTTTCCCCACCGTCCATGAATGTATTTAATCCAGCTTCATACCCCCCCTCCCTCCCCAAAGACCCTAAAACACCTTCACCAAGGCTCCCTGTCCTGGGCCGGTCACTCTGCTCCGGGCGAGGCCAGGGCGGGTTTCACGGGTGGGTGACCCGGTGCTCCGAAGGGCCCTGCGCTTGAGTGCTCTGCTGTCTCCGTCTTTAAGTTCTGGATAATTCTGGACGGCAGGGCCCCTCCTGGAATACCACCTGCCGTCTGGACAGGCCAGCGGGAGAGGAGGTAGAGTGGGCCTCGCACGCTCAGCCTCCATCTCCCACCTCCCAGTCACAGGGTCCTGCTTCCATGGACTCAAACACCGTGCCTCCAGGCAGGCCCACTGGCCGCACCGGCCTCTTTCGGTTACTCTCCCGTTCAGTTCGCCTCCTTGCTGGGTATCGAATGTTGAGTGTGACTTCCTCGCTAAGCGAACCCTGCTTTGGGAAGGCAACTGCCCAGCCTTGGAAACGGGGCCCTGGTGTAGGCAGTCACTGCTCTTCTGACCCCTTATGCCAGATACTCACTCTCCCAGCCTATCCTGTGGCTGGGGGTGGGCCTTTGACCCGGTTCCTACCAATGAATGACGAAGGGAAGGATGATGGGAGGCCTTCCTAGTAAAAGGAAAGCCCCTGTTCCTGCTGTCCGGCTCTTTTCCTGCTCGAAGTCCTGCTGGGAGGCTGTACTTGGAGCTGCAGCAGCCGCTCATCACCAAGCAGCCAGAGGATGGGGGACGCAGACACCCACTCGTGAGCTGCCACCCAACCCCCAACCCACTCATCTCCGTATTCCCAGGTGATTCTAATGTGCAGCCAAGGTTGAGAACCACTGCCGTAGACAGTGAAATGCCTTTATGACTGAAGCCGTTCTCAGGCACCATCTCTGTTACCGCCGCTGAAAACCTCCCGGCAGGAGGGCAATGGGAGGGAGGAGAGGGAGCAGCGGGTGGGCACACATTCCGTCCATGACTCGTACATACTGTGGATGTCACTGTGTGCTGGGTTCCTCCGACACCCTTCGGAAGAGAAGAGAGAGGGCCGAGCGCCCTTTTCCCTTTATCCTTTCGGTAGGAACGAGGTGTCCTCGGCCGGGGCCTTCCCAGGTCACCAGTGCCAGCTGTAGCCAATAAAAGTGCAGGCGCCTCCGTTTCAGATCAACAGTCGGTGGAAGGTTTTCCTTGTTCCGCATAAGTATGGCCTGTTCACTATCTGGGGGTCTATTTATGCTAAAAATTATTTGTTGTCGATCCCAAATTCACATGAAACTGGGTGCCTTGTCTTTCCTCTGGCACCTCTCCGTGGGCTGGGGTGGCGGCCTCCTGGCGGGCCTGGGCCCTGAGGCATTCCCGCTCTGCCCAACCGGGAAAGGCCGTGGATTGGATGCCTCGCTCCCTCCTCCTCCAGAGCGGGTCGGTGTTTGGGTTTTAATATTCATCGTTATTAACTTTATTCTCAATGCACAGAGGAGGTGTTCTACAGATTTCTTATGACAGTGATGGCGAACCTATGA